ATGTTACATGCTTGTGGTTTGGCCATATACCATAATATTGACCCTTTTAAGCATACAAGTCAGTGGTTTTTAGTATTTTCACAAAGTTGTGTAACCATTATTCACTGTCTAATTCTAGAACATTTTCATCACACCAGAGAGAAACTCTGTACTTACCACCTTATTCATCTGTCATCCCCTCTAATCTACTGTCTAGCTCAGGGGTCCTCAAACTTTTTAAACAGGGGGCCAGTTCACTGTCCCTCAGACCGTTGGAGGGCCAGACTATAGTTTAAAAAAAACTATGAACAAATTCCTATACAAATTGCACATATCTTATTTTGAAGTAAAAAAACAAACGGGCAAAAACACCCGCATGTGGCCCAAGGGCTGTAGTTTGAGGACACCTGGTAGCTCTATGGATTTGTCTGTTACGGACATTTTATACAGAATCATACAATATGTGGCCTTCTGTTTCTGATGTCTTTTACTTAAGCATAATGTTTCAAGGTTCATCCATGTTGTGAGGATATACTATATTTAATTTATCCATTCATCAATTGATAGATATTTGGGTAGCTGCTTTTTGGCTATTATGAATAATGCTGCTACAAACATTCATGTACTAATTTTTATGTGGAAATAATATTTTCAGTTCTTTTGGGTATATATTTAGTAGTGGAATTGCTGGGTCATATGGTAACCCTGTGTTTAACATTTTGAAGAACTGTCAAACTGTTTTCCAAAGCAACTGCACCATTTTATATTCCCATCGGCAATATATGAGGGTTTCAATTTCTTCACATCTTTGCCAATGCTAGTTATTTTTCTTTTTTTAAAAAAACATTTTATTGTAGCCATCTTAGAATAGTAGGTATGAGGTAGTATCTCATTGTGGTTTTGATTTGCAGTTCTGTGATGTTGAGCATATTTTCATGTGCTTATTAGCCATTTATATATCTTGTTTGGAGAAATGTCTATTCAGGTCCTTTGCCCACTTTTAAATTGGGTTATTTGTCTTTTTATCGTTCAGTTTTAAGCCTTCTTTATACAAGAAGATTTCTTTTTTTTTTTGAGACAGAGTCTCGCTTTGTTGCCCAGACTAGAGTGAGTGCCGTGCGCGTCAGCCTAGCTCACAGGCAACTCAAACGCCTGGGCTCGAGCGATCCTTCTGCGCTCAGTCCTCCCGAGTAGCTGGGACTACAGGCATGCGCCACCATGCCCGGCTAATGATTTTTAGTATACATACTCAGTTGGCCAATTAATTCTTTCTATTTATAGTAGAGATGGGGTCTTGCTGTTGCTCAGGCTGATTTCGAACTCCTGACCTCGAGCAATCTGGCTGCCTCGGCCTCCCAGAGTGCTAGGATTACAGGTGTGAGCCACGGCCAAGAAGATTTCTTTAATACTTCTAGATACAAGTCTCTTACCAAATACAGTCAGGCATTGCTTAAAGATGGGATTCATTTCTGAGAAATGAATGTTAGGTAGTTTCTTCGTGCGGATGTCATAGCGTGTACTTACACAGACAGAGATGGACACATATAAACATAGAAAAGATACATTAAAATATAGTATAAGAGAGAAAAAATTGTACACCTGTATAAGGCACTTCCTATGAATGGAACTTGCAGGATTGAAAGTTGCTTTGGGTGAATCAGTGACTGATAAGTGAATGTGAAGGCCTGTGACATCACTGTACACTGCTGTAGACTTTATAAACACTGTCCACTTAGTTATACTAAATTTATAAAACAATACTTTTCTTTCTTCAGTAATAAATTAACTTTACCTTACTGTAAATTTTTTACTTTATGAGCTTTTAACTTTTGACTCTTTTGTAATAATGCTTAGCTTAAAACATACATACTACAGTTGTACAAAAATATTTTCTTTTTTTGTATCCTTATTCTATAAACTTTTTGCTATTTGCTTTTTTTTTTAACTTTTTTGTTAAAAACTAAGACATAAACACACATTAGCCTAGGCCTAGACAGGCCAGGGTCACCAGTTATCACGGTCTTCCTTCTCTACATCTTGTCTCCTTGAAAGATCTTCAGGGGCAGTAACACACATGGAGCTGTCATCGCCTATGATAATGCCTTATTTTGGAATATTTCCTGAAGGACCTGCCTGAGGCTGTTTTACAGTTAACGCTTTTTTTTTTTTAATAGGAGTACATTCTTAAAATAACTGTAGAAAGTATAGTATAGTAAATACATAATTCAGTTATATAGTCATTTATTATCATTATCAAGTATTATGTATTGTATATAATTATATATACTAGACTTTTATATGGCTGACAGCACAGTAGGTTTGTTTACAGCAGCATTATCACAAACTTGTGAGTAATGCCTTGCACTACCATGTTATGGCATATATGACGTCACTAGCTGATAGAAATTTTTCAGCTCCATTATAATCTTATGGGGTCATCATCCTATACACAGTCTGTCGTGGACTGAAACATCATTATATGGTGGATGAATGGATGTGATTTGCAAACTATTTCTCCCATTCTATGGGTGTTGTTTTTTCACTCTCTTGATGCCCTTTGAAGAACAAAAGTTTTTAGTTTCAGTGAAGTCTAATTTATCTGTTTTTTCTTGCTTTTGTTTTTGAGGTCTTATCTAAGAAGGCTTTGACAACCAGGCACAGTGGCTCACGCCTATAATCCCAACACTTTGGGATGCCAAGGCAGGAGGTTCACTTGAGGCCAGGAGTTTGAGACCAGCCTGGGCAACACATCAGGACCCCATCTCTAAAAAAAAAAAGAAAATTTAGTTGGGCATGGTGATGCTATTGTCCCAGCTACTTAGGAGGTTGAGGCAGGAGGATTCCTTGAGCCTAGGAGTTCAAGGGTACAGTGAGCAATGATCATACCACTGCACTCTGGCCTGGGCAACAGAGTGAGACCCTGTCTTTAAAAAAATAAAAAGTCTTTGACTAACCAAAGGGCACAAAGATTTATTTCTATATTTTCTTCTAAGAATTTTAGAAATAGTTTGAGTGCTTATATTTAGGTCTGTGATCCATTTTGAGTTAATTTTTGTAATATAGTGTGAAGTAGGGTCCAACTTCATTGTTTTGCATATAGCTAGCTACATGTCTTAGCACCATCTATTGAAAAAGACTATGTTTTCCCCATTGAATTGTCTTGGTACCCTTTTTGAAAATCATAAATGGGAGGGTTTATTTCCAGACATTTATTCCATTCCCTTGATCTATATGTCTGTCCTTGAGCCAGTAACAAACTGTTTTGATTATTGTAGCTTTGTAGAAAATTTTGAAATCAGGAATTGTGAGTTCTCCAGTTTTCTTTTTCAAGATTGTTTTGGCAATTCTTGGTCCCTTGCATTTCCATATGAATTTTAGAATGAACTTGTCAATTTCTCCAAAACAGTAGCTGTGATTTTCATTGGTATTGTGTATAGATCAATTTGAGGAGTAGCATGCATTACTTTTACAGTTAATATAAGAAGGAGACAAACTCCTTAAAGTCATTTAGTTACAAGTTCTCTCAGTAATGTTAATTTTTCTGATTTGACTCATTGATCTTACTGATAAATACAGATTTTTCTTATGATATTTCCTACTTGGATAAAATAATTTATTACATTTATATATTATATAAACTCAAGATTCACTCATAAATTAGTAATAACTTTTTTTTTTGAGACCGAGTCTCGCTTTGTTGTTCAGGCTAGAGTGAGTGCCGTGGCGTCAGCCTAGCTCACAGCAACCTCAAACTCCTAGGCTTGAGCGATCCTTCTGCCTCAGCCTCCCGAGTAGCTGGGACTACAGGCATGAGCCACCATGCCCGGCTAATTTTTTTTAATATATATATCAGTTGGCCAATTGATTTCTTTCTATTTATAGTAGAGACGAGGTCTCGCTCTTGCTCAGGCTGGTTTTGAACTCCTGACCTTGAGTGATCCTCCTGCCTCGGCCTCCCAGAGTGCTAGGATTATAGGCATGAGCGAGCCACCAGGCCTGGCCAGATCATATAGTTTTAGACCCAGAGATGGGTACAAGAAAACTTGATTCTTTTTTTTTTTTTTGAGACAGAGTCTCACTTTGTTGCCCAGGCTAGAGTGAGTGCCGTGGCGTCAGCCTGGCTCACAGCAACCTCAGTCTCCAGGGCTCAGCGATCCTTCTGCCTCAGCCTCCCGAGTAGCTGGGACTACAGGCATGCGCCACCATGCCCAGCTAATTTTTTGTATATATATTTTTTAGTTGGTCAATTAATTTCTTTCTATTTTTGGTGGAGACAGGGTCTCGCTCAGGCTGGTTTTGAACTCCTGACCTTGAGCAATCCGCCCGCCTCGGCCTCCCAAAGTGCTAGGATTACAGGCGTGAGCCACCGCGACTGGCCGATTTTTGTATCAAGTTTTATTGATACTGTTTTATTATTTATTAAAAGCTAAGCCAGGCATGGTGGCTCATACTTATAATCCTAGCATTTTGGGAGGCTGAGGCAGGAGGATTGCTTGAGGCCAGGAGTTTGAGGCCAGCCTGGGCAACACAGCAAGATCCCATCTTTACAGAAAGTAAGAAAAATTAGCTGGGCGTGGTGGCATGTGCCTGTAGTCCTAGCTATCTGGGAGGCTGAGGCAGGAGGATTGAGCCTAGGAGTTTGAGGTTACAGTGAGCCATGATTGTGCCACTGCACTTCCGCATGGGCAACTGAGCAAGACCCTGTCTCCAAAAAAAAAAAAAGCTAAAGTAGAAATTAACAGAAAACATTATGGAAATCATTTAAATGTAGCATTAATCTTTTTTAAAAATCTTGTTTGGATTATTAAATTGAGGATTGTGAATGTCAATCATAGTCTTAGTAGGTGATTCACAACTACAGTGAGCAATATATGAGGAATTTATTTGTTGTCTGTTGTTGGTATTATTTGGTTGCAGAGCAGTGGTGTAATGGAAAGAACATGGACTTTGGAGTTAGATCTGGGTTCATTTCTTAACCCTGCCATGGTAATACTAACAACAGTGATAATATAAATATCACCTGTTTTGCCTTCTAGCTGCATGCTTGTGTTAGCCTTGGCACGTGATCATTCTGTTAGGTAGATTTTATAAATCTTAAAAATTCTAGTTCAGAAACAGCTTTACTAAACCAAGATCTATAATTTGTTGCATTTTTTTCTGAGAGTGTGGAATTTACATCCATTTTTTTAAAAGAAGCTGTTGGTATTGCTAAGGCATCTGTCCAATCTACACAGTTGTTTAGCTTGCTGTGCTCCAGGTGCAGTTGATGTGCTGTGCATGTATCTGGGCAATATTGGAAATAAAGCTTTGAGGCATGTGGAGGGCAATTTGTGGAGTAGGGTGTGAGCAGCACTAACGTTCACGATCTCAGAGGCTGCATCTCTGGAGGCAGAGGATGTTGTCTCACTAGACTGTTGATGAAGTTCATGAGGTTTTCTCTGAATTCTTCAAACTCAGTTGAGTTGTTTCTTATTTGCTCTGAACTCCAGTATTTCCATCACGGACTTCTGGAGGCGATAGAAATCTGTCTTCTGAAGCCCCAGAAGCATTTTCTTTCTCTGTATCGAGGCTCTGAAATGGGGCAAGGAACTCCTCTATTTTCTTTGCTGTGCTCCAAGTGTAAACCTAAAATAACAAGGGAGGGGCTCTCCAAAGAAAGGAATTTGTTTGGGAGTAAACGGGATTATAATCCAGGATGAGCATGTTATGATGAGTCATAGGTGCATCCAGAGACTATGTGGGAAGGGGAAACTTTTCAGGGGAAAAAGGAGAAGTCCACGTAAGCTGTTTTGAAACAAACATTGATCACAGGGGCCTGTTGTAGGAACTGATGTTAACTCATTGGTGGAAACAGCTGTTGCTAAGCAAATGTTCTTATGAGGGTGCCTTATCTGAAATGCTTCAGTCTTGAGGAATTTTTTGTGATAAATCCTCTTACACACGTATGTGTAAGACAAGCAAGATGAACACAGCATACAGGGATTTCACGTGGGTTTTAGAAAGTCCTTGTGATAGCACTTATCTCAATCATGTGCACAGGAGACCCCTCCTTCGTGACCTCTGATTCTGCCTTGCCCTGAGTCTGTCGTAAGTGACTCCATCTTGGCCTTGGCAATTTTCACACGGCTACTTTACAGATGAAGACTTAAAAGCTTTGAGGCATTTTTGAAATAGGATCATAAGCTTATCCTTAGCAAACCTCTTTAGCAACTGCAAGGCTGATACATAACCTTCTGACTCCATGTTCTTTTGTAAACATGCATGTTGCTATTTTGTGATCCGTTGACATGGTGGTTATTTGGGAAAAGAAGCTATGAACTCATGAAGACATCTCAAAACCAGGAAGTAATTCCAGGAATTACGGAAATTTGCAAACCTAAAAATAGTGAGAATAGCATGATAAACTACCATGTACCCATCTCTCAGCTTTATTGAGTTTCAGTGCATGGCCATCTTGTTTTTGTTCTTGGAGTATTTTCATGGAGTATTTTGAAGCAATTCCAGACATCATATATATCACTTGTACATATCTAAGTATGTATCTTTAAAATATAAAGAAGTTTTGAAAACATAACCACAATGTCATTATTAAAACTTGAAACAAACCTTCAGAAACATCTGCCTGCATAAAAAAAAAACAACAAAAATAAAACTTAAGAAAACCCCTAATTCTTTAATATCATTAAATATCTGGTCAGTTCTAAAAATAAATTTTTAAGACTGAATAAAATGCCTTCAATGAACAGACCTTAATCTACTTAATCATTCCATTATTATAGGATTTTTAGGTTGTTTACAATTTTGCATGATTATAAATAATGCTGTGATTAATAACTTCATGCCTATGACTTATTCTCTAGTTGAGTCATTTCCTCAGGAAGGATTTCTAGAAGCTGAATAACAGTACAAAAAAATCACATGATGTTTTATCAAGTCTCCAACTGTGTGTGTTGTATTAAGGAGTTCTTTGTGTAGGTCAAAGATCTTAACAGCCTCTTAGTTTTAACAAAGAAATTATTCACTGCTGTTCTGCTCTGAAATTCATTGCTGGCTCTTTCATTGCACCTGACCCTGCATGGAATTCTTTGGTCATGTGTATTCTTGTACTTAAAGTAAGAAAGATCATATAGTTTTTGAACTCCTGACCTTGAGTGATCCTCCTGCCTCGGCCTCCCAGAGTGCTAGGATTATAGGCATGAGCGAGCCACCAGGCCTGGCCAGATCATATAGTTTTAGACCCAGAGATGGGTACAAGAAAACTTGATTCTTTTTTTTTTTTTTTGAGACAGAGTCTCACTTTGTTGCCCAGGCTAGAGTGAGTGCCGTGGCGTCAGCCTGGCTCACAGCAACCTCAGTCTCCAGGGCTCAGCGATCCTTCTGCCTCAGCCTCCCGAGTAGCTGGGACTACAGGCATGCGCCACCATGCCCAGCTAATTTTTTGTATATATATTTTTTAGTTGGTCAATTAATTTCTTTCTATTTTTGGTAGAGACGGGGTCTCGCTCAGGCTGGTTTTGAACTCCTGACCTTGAGCAATCCGCCTGCCTCGGCCTCCCAAAGTGCTAGGATTACAGGCGTGAGCCTCCGCGACCGGCCGATTCTTTGTATCAAGTTTTATTGATACTGTTTTATTATTTATTAAAAGCTAAGCCAGGCATGGTGGCTCATACTTATAATCCTAGCATTTTGGGAGGCTGAGGCAGGAGGATTGCTTGAGGCCAGGAGTTTGAGGCCAGCCTGGGCAACACAGCAAGATCCCATCTTTACAGAAAGTAAGAAAAATTAGCTGGGCGTGGTGGCATGTGCCTGTAGTCCTAGCTATCTGGGAGGCTGAGGCAGGAGGATTGAGCCTAGGAGTTTGAGGTTACAGTGAGCCATGATTGTGCCACTGCACTTCCGCATGGGCAACTGAGCAAGACCCTGTCTCCAAAAAAAAAAAAAAGCTAAAGTAGAAATTAACAGAAAACATTATGGAAATCATTTAAATGTAGCATTAATCTTTTTTAAAAATCTTGTTTGGATTATTAAATTGAGGATTGTGAATGTCAATCATAGTCTTAGTAGGTGATTCACAACTACAGTGAGCAATATATGAGGAATTTATTTGTTGTCTGTTGTTGGTATTATTTGGTTGCAGAGCAGTGGTGTAATGGAAAGAACATGGACTTTGGAGTTAGATCTGGGTTCATTTCTTAACCCTGCCATGGTAATACTAACAACAGTGATAATATAAATAATTACCATTTATTGAACATATTGTGTGGCAGACACTGTGCTAAGCCTTTTGTATATATCATCTTATTTAATTTTCACAATAACCCTGCAAATAAGTTTATGATCTTCTGGATAGAGAAACTGAAGCTAAGAACAGTTAAATACAAAGCCTATGGCAAAGCTAGGTCTGTCTCTGTGATCGTTTTTTTTCTGTTAAATCATGGTATTTTCTCCTTTCTCTATCCATTTTCCCACATTTCCCAGAATCCTTTCCCCAGTCTCTGGGTACAAGTCCCTCCCTGCTTTTGCGTGCAATTGTTAAGTGTACTTAAGGAAACTGGTGAGAGCCACATTCTGAGGCCATCACTACATCATCACAATACACTTTCCCGTTGTTACAACAGAGACTCTACAGGTATTGCCTGAGTTCAAGAGATGGCATATGGTTATAGTAAATGAGAGGAAGAATGCTTCAGAGATTGCTTGAGTAGTTCACATTTTCATTATTTATTAATCTGTTTTCTTCCCAAAGTTTTCAATGTTGGGCATTAAGTCAGGGCATTTCAGCTCTTCCACCCCTTCACATTTTTTTCCTCCCAAATTTGCTTTTCTTTTTTCCAGAGTCTGAATTCTTATACAAATGGAGCATATGGTCCAACCTATCCCCCCTGGCCCTGGGGCAAATACTGCCTCGTACTCTGGGGCTTATTACACACCTGGATATACTCAGACTAATTACTCCACAGAAGTTCCAAGCACTTACCGTTCACCTGGTGACAGCCCAACTCCAGTCTCTCGTTGGATATATCCCCAACAGGACTGTCAGACTGAAGCACCCCCTCTTAGGGGGCAGGTTCCAGGATATCCTGCTTCACAGGTGAGCTGTTTTCTGTTGGGAAAAAATTAAAAGTCTGTCCCTCTTCAGTTGTAAACAGCAGAAGGGTATCCATTTACAGTAGTGCTGATTTAAGAAAACACTTCCAGATCGGGGAGGCGAGGATTGCTTTCATATTGATGCCCTTCTTACTTACAGCAGCTATTGCAGTAATGGCTGAATGGATTTTGGGTGAAGGTACCTTATAGATGTCATAATGATAAAACTTTTATACTGAAAAAAGTCTTTAGAGAGTTGTTACTTGGAACTTTCCCAGTCTTGCCTATCTTAGCCTTTTTTAGTGCTGTTAATATTTTTTAATATTCTGTGAATGGTACCATGTTTATTTCTCTGTTCCTTTTAAGAGGAGTTCTATTATATCATTGTGTTTTCTTACAGCGTATGGTGTCTATGGGACACACTTACACTATGCTTCATGCATTGGCTTTTAGGCCTTATTCCTTTTTAGTTTTATTGTCACCAAATCTACCCCTGGTATCTTTGGAACCAAGCTTTTTGAGGCTTGGAGAAATTATTGCAACTGATTAATTAGAGTTGCTATACTTTAGCCTAGTAGCAGCTAAGTATACTCTATTAAGCAGAAAGGGAGCATCTCAGAATCTGCCCATATCAGAATATTTTCATTAACAGTTTTTTTTTTTTTTTTTAAGCAATGACCAGCATATTTCTTCCTCTCAATCTAGAACCCTGGAGTGACCCTGCCTCACTATCCTTATGGGGATGGGAATCCTAGTGTCCCACAGTCAGGACCACCTGTACGGCCACAGGAGGATGCGTGGGCTTCTGGAGCTTATGGCATGGGCGCCCGTTGCCCCTGGCCTGCAGCTGCGCCCTCCGCGCCACCTGGGAATCCGTACATGACCGAAAGTGCCTCACCATGGCCCGGCAGTGGCTCTCCTCGGCCGCCTCCTTCGCCACCTCTGCAGCAGCCCAAGGTAGGGCTTTAAATCTTCCTTTGATGTTTGGGTAATCAGGAGAGTACAACATGGCAGTTTTCTGCATTGGTCTGTGTTAAACGTGGACTAATTGCAAAAAGTTGGTGACTACCGTGTTTCCCCGAAAATAAGACCTACCCATAAAATAAGCCCTAGCAGGATTTCTAAGCATTTGCACAATAGAAGCCCTACCCCGAAAATAAGACCTAGTGATGGGTGTAGCTACGGAGCGTACCTGCACAACCCATGCATTTCGTGGCAGAGTGGTAAGGAAGACGAGCAGCCCTTCTCATGTGCCCCATCGTGACAGCTACTATCCCAGAGGTGACTGGAAAGGTGCGGGCAGCCCCACCAACAAGGTCGGCTCCCCGTCAGGTCCGGGCCATCCTGTGCCTGCTGCTAGCTGAGGCTTTGAGGGGCAAGTCTCCTCAGTGAAGTGAGGAGCGGGACGCTCCGCTTTAGGTATTGTGTGTCCCCAGGGGGCAGAAGGAAAGCTGTGGCTGCCATTTTACTCAGCACTGTGGGCCTCTCTCAGCCCCCACAAACACCAGGGGACAGGGGGAAAGCTTCAGCAAGCAGTCTCTTACTGAGGCCAGAGAGATCATTTGTACTGTACTTAAAAACAATAGCACATCCCCTGAAAATAAGCCCTAGGGTGTCTTCTTGATGAAAAATAAATATAAGACCCTGTCTTGTTTTCAGGGAAACATGGTGGTACTACCTGTTGCTTACCTCAGCATAGATTCTTTTTTTTAATAGACTTTATTTTCTAGAGAAGGTTTAGGTTCACATCCTTTATTTTATTTTATTTATTTTTTTGAGACAGAGTCTCACTCTTTTGCCCGGGCTAGAGTGCCATGGCATCAGCCTAGCCCACAGCAACCTCAAACTCCTGGGTTAAGCATCCTTCTGCCTCAGCCTCCCAGGTAGCTGGACTACAGGAATGGCGCACCATGCCTGGCTAATTTTTCTATATATTTTTAGTTGGCCAATTAATTTGTTCTATTTTAGTAGAGATGGGGTCTCGCTCTTGCTCAGGCTGGTCTCAAACTCCTGACCTCAAGCGATCCACCCGCCTCGGCCTCCCAGAGTGCTAGGATTACAGGCGTGAGCTACCACGCCTGGCCCACATCCTTTATTTTAAAAGACAGAAAGAAAATGCCCATTTTCTGTTTGTAGTAATTTTACCTGAATGTTAAATACAAAGATTGTATTTTACTACCTCAAATAATCTATAGACAGAAGACAAAGCTAATGTTGAAATATTTGCAATATTAGCTTGGTATATATAAACCATAGCTTGAAAATCATCTGCTGGGCTGTTTTCTTTTCAGGATCTGTCTTGAGGTTTTCACCAGGGGAAAGCCATCTAATTCTTATTGATTAAGTCACTGGATGAATTGTGAGGTGGTGAGGATAGATTGTGAGGTGCTCGTGATGACGACCTGCCTCAGGAATTCCCTGCCTTTTGCTCGACAGAGCACTCCCTTTTATCTTCTTAGGACTGTTTTTCTCAAATGATTAAGGAGGAGGTCCAGTTTTATTGGTGGGAATTTTCATGTCCCTTCCAGGTCAGGTGAAAGATGTGGCTAACAAATCTGATGTTAATGGATTCCCATTAAAACAGCTTTTCCCCCCTTTTTGCTCTCCTCTCAAGGATTCCTCATACCCCTATAGCCAATCAGATCAAGGCATGAACCAGCACAACTTCCCTTGCAGTGTCCATCAGTACGAATCCTCGGGGACAGCGAACAATGATAATTCAGATCTTACGGATTCCCAAGTCCAGTATAGTGCTGAGCCTCAGCTGTATGGTAATACCACCAACGAACATCCCAGCAATCAAGATCAAAGTAATAATGTTCCTGAAGAGTGCTTATCTTCAGATGACGGTACTCCCCAAGTATTAAAAAATCATACATGTGCTGGAAAAGTACAGTATCTCGAACAAGAAGTAGAAGAGTTCGTAGGAAAAAAGACAGACAAAGCTTACTGGCTTCTGGAAGAAATGCTAACCAAGGAACTTTTGGAACTGGATTCAGTTGAAACTGGGGCCAGGACTCTGTCCGGCAGGCGCGGAAAGAGGCTGTTGTAAGATCCAGGCCATACTGGAAAAATTAGAAAAAAAGGATTATGAAAGGATTTAGAACAAAGTGGAAGCCTGTTACTAACTTGACCAAAGAACTCTTGATTTTGGTTAATTACCCTCTTTTCTAAATGCCTGTTGATGACAAGAAGCAATACATTCCAACTTTCCTTTGATTTAAAATTTGAAAAATTGAAAGGAATGGAAAAACATTTTAGTTATGAAGTTGCTTTCAGTTTTCAGACGAATGAATGTAATAGGAAACTATGGAGCTAACAGTATTGCCAAGTAGACTCACTCTTTAAGAAATTTATGGATATCTGCAAGCTGCTTCTTATCAGCAGGAGGGAAATACACTTTATGTAACAGGCTTAATAGAAACCTACCAGATGAGACTGGCTATAATCTGAGACAAACAGGATCTGTTTTTTTTTTTTTTAAACATCTGGATTACTTGTCACATTTTTGTACATGTGACTGCTTTCAGCATACCTTTCATGTGTAAATTACAGCTTAGACTTTAGACTATTGGACTTGTTTTGTTTTGTTACTTGCAGTTCACAAATATAGTATTCTCTACTTCTTGGTACATTTGTAGTAATATGTTTAATATAATTATTCAAGAGACTATATTGACAGCCTGATAGTGTGGCAATTCTGAATGAATTTATATCTTTTCACCATTTGAATATATTGCAATGTGTAATGAGTTCCTGAGGTAAATTGTTTGTCTCCCGTGTTGTATAGATTGGTTTTACCACTTTTGCTTTCATGGTGGTAGTGGACAGCGAATTTGGAAATGTCATTGACACAGAATGAAAATGTTTGTAGACATTTTACTCTTTGCTTTTTATTGTATTTGGATAAAGATCCATTTTAAATTATCTGTTTTTTAAACAAAGGTAATTATCTTTTCACTATTGCTGCTTCCATAGAGAGCATTGTGATAGACAGTAGATGAAACTTTAAATGCCACAGTGAGTAGAAATAATGAGTACAAAAGTAACAGATATAATATTTGTAATACCATTCTCCATCTAAGATTAGTTTCACCATCAGATCCTATGAGCAGATTTCAGCTCAGTTTATAGTTAAAAACAATGAGGGTTAAAGGGTATTCATGCTCAGGAATGAATCAGCCATAGCTAGAGTGGGAAATTATTTTCTTCTTTTAAAGGTAGATTTGATGTTTATCTTTATTTCTGTAGAGTAAATTGCATATATAGAAATGCCTGTTTCATAAAAAGATGTTTTACCATTATTAACAGTCATTTTAGAGCCAAATTTATGGAAGGGATATTGAAAGGGTCTTACCTAGCCTTGGTGGGTAGTAGAAGAGACTTAGGTACATAACTTACTTTTACATCTGAGGTGAGTTCTAGTATACAGTATCTGTTCTTAGAAAAACAACTGTTCTTCATAAGATAGCCAAGGTTTTTTGTTTTTTTTTCCTAGACTGCCAGGCCTATTAGTGATACTAAATCTATCATCTGTCTCATTCCTCATAAACAAAACCAAATCAGTACAAACATACTAGATGAGAGGAAATGTAGTAAAATATTGGCTGGGTCTTATGGTTGGGATGAGTGATTCTGCCAGATAATATAGTGGCAAATTATTCTTGGATTTTAATTTTGGCCTAATATGGAATGTTAAAAAAAGCTTTCTATGAAAATTAGAAAATTATACTTGAGACTAAAATATAGAAGAGGGGGACTTTAAACTAAGTTACCAGTGAGACAATGAGTAATTCAGAAGAGAACACTACTATTTTACTGAGTGCCCCAAGATGCCAATTTCCATGACATCTTGATTTATAGATATATGTACCCATGTTATGTACATATATACATATATGTGTGTATGCTTTTAAACAGTTTTTTAAAAGTTTTTGAGATAATTCTAGACTTACAGAAGAGTTGTAAAAAATAGTACAGAGTTCTCATGTATCCTCCACCCACCTTCTCCTTGTGTTAACGTCTTGCATAACTATAGAATATTTGTCAAAATTAAGAAATTAACCTTGATACAATACTATTAACTGAAGTAGAGAATTTAAAAAGTAGAGATTTATTTAGTCTTTTGACTGATATCCTTTTACTATTCCAGGATCCAATCCAGGATCCCTCCTTGCATTTAGTTGTCATGTCTCTTTGTGTCCTCTATTCTGTGACAGTGTATCAAAACAGGGGATACCTAATGCAATGTATTTCTGGTATTGTTACCTTGATCACTATGCTTGGCTGGTGTCTGCTAGGATTCTCTACTGTAAACTTACTGTGTTTTCCTTGTAATTACTCAATATTGCTGGAGATACTTGGAGACTATGCAAATGTCCTGTTTCTGCTTAAACTTTTGCCCAGCCATTTATTATCCCTTGGCAGATCTTGCTTGTGGCAGCTACTGTGTGTCAATGGTGATCTTCCTGATTCCTTACATTTATTAATTGAAATTCTTCTTTAAAGAAGAGGTGTTGCTCTGGAGATATTTTTTATTATAATAGAATATTTCAGGATAAGTACACACTTAGAATTTAAAGATGTTAAACCATGTTAAAATGATTCCAAATACCAATATCAAAGAAAGTTAACTAAGTTGGTAACTTGACTCAGAAAATATAATGAACTTAAGAAGAAATAGAATATGATGTAGAGTTGTCAACTTTTGGTTTAATATTGACTTCAGACTGAATTCAGAATTTCTTTGAATTCATATCTGGACTTTAAAGTGTTTTTAAATTACTTTGGGGTCATTTTGTTAAAATCTTGAATAAAGTTAAAGACCTGGCATGATAAATGCAACTATGTTTCTTTATAATAAGCATCATTGTTTTAAATATAAATGCCAATATAAATATTTAAACAAATGAGCCTAATGAAATATCTAGGGGATATATGTCTCTACATGTTGGTACAGAATTCTTTTAAATGCTTTCAAAAATAGTGTTTTTTTTTTTTTTTGAGACAGGGTCTCACTTTGTTGCCCAGGCTAGAGTGAGTGCCGTGGCGTCAGCCTAGCTCACAGCAACCTCAAACTCCTGGGCTCAAGCAGTCCTCCTGCCTCAGCCTCCCAAGTAGCTGGGACTACAGGCATGTGCCACCGTGCCCGGCTGATTTTTTCTATATATATTAGTTGGCCAATTAATTTCTTTATTTATAGTAGAGACGGGGTCTTGCTCTTGCTCAGGCTGGTTTCAAACTCCTGACCTCTAGCAATCCGCCCGCTCGGCCTCCCGGAGTGCTAGGATTACAGGTGAGCCACGCGCGCGGCCTAAAAATAGTGTTTGAAAATAGTTCTTCTCTCT